CTCTGTCATTTCCTCCTCTCTGCTCATTTTTCCAAGCAGCTCGTGGGTAGTTGCTCTTTTGTATTCCTGTCACTAAGTTGGGTCAACTCCTCTCTGCTAGGCTTACGTTAAATGATCACTAGGCTGCAGGACTGACTGGAATAGGGTGTTGTCCCTGATAAGCATCTGGAAATTGTTATTCTGTGACGGTTTCAATAAGAAATTGGTGATGAATGGTTGCATGTATTTATATGATTTTCCAATAGCTTTGGCGATGTGTCCTTATTTACTGAGTGGAACAAATGTAGTGTAAACATGCTTTCCTTCAATAAGACTATACTGGGCCTTTCAACCAACTTTAGTTCAGTTCCCATGGTAAAATCCACTTTGCCTGTTCTGTACTATTTATAACTTTTTTATATGTTCTCCGCAATTAAGGAATCTGTCACAAGTTGCCTTATAACTACCGACTGGAATCAATTAAATCTTCAGGTCGACAGCTATAAAAGTGTCAGAGTGGTTAAGTCATGATTACACGTAGGAAGGCAATCGCTAATCACTTTAAGATTTATTTCCATGTTAAAGTGAACAATGGCTCCCTGTCTACCCTGAATAAACCCATTAGCCCAGCACATGACTCTCCGCAGGCTATATAGATTCATGGAGCTAGTGCAAGTTAACATGAGTGACCAGTTCAAAGCAAGTCTTTGGATCTGCCATGGTGGCCAATTAGCTGTGATCTGGATGCTATTTAGCCTATTTTGCACTTGCCATTGACGCTTGCACCCTAGCAACAATGCAACGGGGAACCCCAATACATTTGGACTTTGCTCATAGAACTGCTATAAAAGGTTTAGTCCTCTGTGGTAATTAAGTCTGTTTCCTCCTTCCTGCATTGTGGTTTCAACGTTGAAAGAACTTTTCTTAGTAATTACTAAGGTTTTGAAGATTTTTCATTAATGTTGCTGTTTTGTTTGAGAGAATAAGTTCAGCGGTATTGACTCAATAAAGCCCACTATACATCTAGTAAAGGCCAATTACTCCACCCTACTGAAACAGATACAATACGTCTGAGCTGTACACCCAGTAAGGGCTACAAATTAAAATTACCATGTTATGAGAATCCATATTTGACACAATATTTTAGACATATAAGTTTCATGTTTTTTTTTGGGAAATCTTTGGATTTTTTCTTATTCGACTTATGTAAAGATAAAAGAAAAACAAATCTGAATTTATTGTGCTACTGAGAAATTATATTAAACCAGAAAAATTAAATATTATTCACATTACATTCAGAATATTATGCCAACCATGCTTGGCAGACACATGTGGCCATTCAAGCTGAAGATAACAGATATGATCTAAACTGAGAATCTTGACAGCTCTCTGTCTTCACTTTAAATGCTGAGCTACTGTTAGATAATGTCATATTTGACCAGACCAACCGATTAGGCTGCTGGAGTCCTTGATAAGGAAGCTTATAGAAAATGTATAATATATGTAAAGAATAATTTACTTAATTCTGACAATTTGTTACAATATGGTAGCCTAAGCTAACTAGTTACAAGGTGGGAAAATAACATGAAAAGGCAGCTAAAGCAAAACTTGTAAACAGCACGAGTTAGCTATCCATACAAACGTATTATACAGAACTTAAAAACATATATTTAGCTCTATCTGACCATTTTACAATATACATAAAATAATGTGAAAAATAGAGGTAAAGCTGTTTCAACTATATGGGGGAAAAAAAGTAAATGCGTAATAATAAAATATGCTATTTCAATCAAGCTTAGAAGGTACCTAATTATCGGCGTGCGTGTTTATATGGCTGACAATAATATTAAGATGTTCTTAAGAGTTTATGCAGATATAAAACTCTTATTATAAGAATCTGCAAACAGGGTTGATTCTGTACTAGATTGTATGCAGGACAATCGGGCACAGGAAGGTTTGTTGATTGGGACAGGTTACGCTTCAAGATTTCCAATATGGACACCGTACCGTGCATGGTGCCTCTTGGATGTATCATGTTTTAGTGTTGTTGTTTTTTTAAACATTTCTCTTCTAAACAGAAGCTTGGATAACAAACCTTCTCAAAGAGTGGTGACAGCAGAGAAAAACACTAGGCTAAACAGAGAAGCTAATGATACCCTTGGCCGGCTGTAAACAAGAGCGATGTGTTGCTGAGACATCAAGAATTTGACCAACCACTGCCAGAGAACCTCAAATTAGCTTCATGTTTACCCCCACTGGACGACAACGGCTAGAAACTCATTCTTGTGAGGGCCAAAAGTGAAGTTTACTGCACATGGATTTTATCTAACAGTTACGGTATCTCAAGAGCAAACAGTACTTTTACTTCTCAATAATAAGTACCAGTTTATTTTAATAAGTACATGAGATGTTTCTTGAAGTATGTGTTGTGATCTACCAAAACGACACCTCGTCTGTTTCTTATAAAATGATTCCTCCGTATTCACACTGCCAGTACTGATGTTTAATATTTCCCAGGGGATAGTGGTGGAAATTTCATGGAGTTGCTTGGAATTTAGCGTTTTAAAGACTAAGAGGGGGTTGTACTTACTGAAAATATTCTCGAAAAAGGAGTAAGTAGAAGAGGAGGATCTCAGGCAGAGAGTTAGATAAAGGAGGATTAGGAAAGCAAAACACAGCGAGAAAATAAGTGAGGAAAATAAACATGCGAACGGCTGCCAAGCACTGGCTCAGCAGAGGTACTTCCCCTAATGTGCACAGCTGGAATTGTGAGACGGTGAGCAATACTACCCGCTCTGCTCCCAGACTCTGACACAAGCAGGGGAATTTATCTTCTCTGTGCTAGGATATCTCAAAAATAGCACTGGATAAGGGCATGGCAGCAACTCAACAACAAGGAAGTACACTGCAGATCTCCCTTCGTTTCTTCCAGTTGTCATTGCAGAGAATTACCTGTCAACAATGCACAAGGTCATTTATTTAATATATTTAGAACTAGTGCAACATGAAAGGTCTAGTTTCCAAAGGAATTAGGTCAACATTGCAAGACTCTGCATCCCAAGATTTCCACCAACGTCTAGTACCAATACAGGAAGTCCTATGAAGCAAAAGTAAGGGTGTGGAGGTCATTGTTGTGGATGGACATTTGCAAAATTCAATTCAATTATTACCCGGAGCAACTGTTTGCGAGAACATACATTTCCAAATGGGTTGGGACTCTGACATCCAACGTACTTTACCCTGCTAGCTTTCTAGAACCAAGTCTGTGTAATGTCCGAATTCACACTTGTTTGAATAGATCCACTAATTCTCTGAATTCAAGGTAAGTGAGTGGGCATTGGAGAAAGCTAATATCCAAAGAAGAAGAAAGGTAATTTAAGCAAAGACGCCAACGGAAATGTTTCAATGGAGAGACAACAAAATTCAGGAACTTCTGTCAGCAGGGGCAAACTTGGACTTGGACGATTTGACTCATTAATGAAGCACTTCATTTCTCAACTCATGCACCTAAACCAAACAGAGCATTTCCAGTAAGTGGGACACTCTCCTGTTGGGTGATACATGGGTAAAAGTGAACCTCCGGTGAATCTAATTCGGATGGTGTCCAGAGTTATGAAAAAATTTCTTGAATTTCATGCAAGGCATTGAAATTCTAGTCAGCCACAGAGTTAGAATGAGCTTTTGCCTGTTTATTAACCCTGACTACAATTTCCCCTTACCTTAACTAAGTGTTTTGGTTGTTTAACCTTAATCATATCTGAGCAATATTATACTTGCCAAAACCAATCTGTCCCTACAGTAGTTGCTATTTGCAGACATTGCAGAAAGATTCAAAGATAAGGTTGTATGCATAAAGTACCTTCTGATACTGTAGCTAAAAGCTTTTTTTGTTGTTGCCATATTTGCTTCAAAATGGAGTATAAGTCTTGAGAGGAACCACAACGCCTGACAGGGAAGGGCATACAAAAAAGATTAGAGCTTTTGTTCTGGTACTAACATTTTGAGTTACTTGCAAAGTTGTTTTACACCTTTCTGGTTTGTTGATGTTACTTGTTGGCTACAGACCTAAGACCTAAACCAGAGTACCTCTGAACAATGTGAGAATATATTAACAAGACATATCTTACTTTGAAAAAGAAATGGCAAGATCTGAACATTTAAAATAATTATTTATGGACGGAAAATGAATTGTGGTTAATGCATAAATACAGGTTTTCTGGAACATTTAGTGATGTAATAACCGCTTTTTTGTTTTGCTGCAGATTGTAATACTAAACAAACATTAAAACCACACCTAGCCAGCACTGATGCAATCAGTCCTTGAAAACCAGTTCTGAATCTAGACGTGCAATTAGTCAAGATACCATTATCTCATACTTTTATCTGGTTGAAGTCAACATTTACGTCAACACTTGAAACATTAAAAACAACAAGAGGTACATTTCCTGGAAGTCTAGCTATCATGAACCTCCTTATCTTTTTAATGATCTGTTATTAATACCAATCATCCAAGTGCTGGGTAATCTATAGGCTTTATTACAAGGTAGCTTGACAAACATGTTCTAAGCAAACTAATACAGCCCCTTTATCCTGTTTGGGCTAGCTTGCTATTGAATCACGACTTGACGGAGATAATCAGATTTGCAGATAACCAGTAAGTCAAAACAGAGTTTATGGCATGGCATAATGAAATACAACTTTCAGCTATTGCAACATTTCCATTTAACAGTGCACACCCATGGTGGCTAGTTTGCTATTAAAGGGTGTATGCGCCACTGCTGAAGTCCTGATCTGCAATTTGACACATCTGTCTGACATTTAGGAGCGCATAGGAGAACCACGCAATGTGGTCAAAAAAGAAACATTGAAAAAGATCTGGCTTTAGCAAAGTGGAAAAATAGAACAAAAACAAACCATGTTATGAGGTTGTTTTCTTGTGCAACAGGGTAATAAAATAAAGCATATACTCACTGTAAAATAAGCCACATGCAATACATGTACATATTTTAGTCCACAAAAATGGATTCTCATGAGTGGAGATACTCACTGGCAGTTCTGAAGGCTCCGGAAGAAACTCAGCATCTTCTCCGAAAATAAAATCTGGAGGCAATTCTGGAAACTGTGCATTGAATATAATGTCCCCTGGGAAAATAAAAGAACATTGGATTACCTTATGGACTAATAACATGGACAATATTCATTAATATTGTGTACTATGAAATGACCAGAATGTTTTAAGTGATCTTAACGATTAACTGGGTGTCTTACCCAGCCCAAAAATGCAATTTTCTTTCAATAACAATAAAACAGTGTCATTCATTAATTAAAAAGTTGGCAATCCACGTTACTCTGTGTAGTTTTAGGAAATGGAGATTCATTTGATCCCATTGCTAGAAAAGAAAAACTGCAGTGGGAGCGGTTTGATGTTGTATGAACCTAAATGTGATTCTGCCCTAATTTCTAGAACATACAGTATAGGGTTCTTCAGCCTGGGCCCATTGGAAAACCCATTACATTACATAAACCTTGTAGAAAGAGGCTATGGCCTGGAAACATCTGTGGGGTTTTTATCTGGATCATATCTAGATTGACAAATACTTTATTTATCCGAAGTTGGGAAATTGTTTAGGTAAATTAATAAATGAGATATCCACATTCTAAGTGGTCAAGTACCATTGAACCCATCCATTGGGTTCTACAAAGAACATTTTTATATTCTTTGAGTTGTATCTAGAACCCACCAATGGGGCTCTTAAAATAGTCTTTTGTAAAGACTTACCTTTAACCCTCTTATCTTCTGGGGGTCTGCCATATTGTATTTAATGATATGGAGATGATTGAGTTCCATATGGTGTATATTGTCTTTAGGGTAACCCACTAACTTTAGTGTTACTATGTTGAACAATGTCCAGCGCTTACAATTTAAAATGTTCCTCATCATCTATTTTCTTGGGGTGTGTCTGCCTTTTGACGAACACTTTCTTTGAATAAGCTTTTAGACAATAAGCAAGTAAGAACCCCTTTTCAAACCCTTATTTACAAACGCACTGTAATGAACACACTTTGTGCTTTCATTCGAGCCTTCCAAACAAGTGTTTTGTGTAAATCATTGCATTTGTAGTTTTAATAAAGCACACATTACGTAGTAGTATGTTTGGTTTTAATTTAGGTATCCACATTTGAAACAAACAAGGGCCAAAATACTAAAATAAAAGAAACCCCTTTAAGGAAAAACAGACAGGAAATGGCTGCCGCTGAGGCAGGGACAATACTGTTATAATGTGATCGCAATCATCGCATAACTCATTGCTTGTGCTGGTTCACAATGTTCTGATATAATGTTACACAATTATATTTGTGTGCTGCAAGACTGTCCTGTTCTGCTTTTCTTTGCCGTTCCTGAGGCCGCAAGAGGAGGCGAACTTAGACGTATGGAAATGTTTTTTTCCAGCGGAGAAGAGTCAAACAAGGAGACGAGAGGATGTGCTGTAGATCCGTTACCAACTACTGGCAGCCAGTCAGAGATGTACTGGCACGGTTCCAGAGGGAAATGGGGGTCATGGAAGTACAACCTTTACAGGTTACATATTGCTTTGTTCAGACAGCCATGAAAAGTGCAGTCTAGTCACTGCAGAATGTGCCTTCTTAAAGTCTTACTTCTGTTTCAGCCAGGCATTTTATTCAGGTCAGGAGGGAGTCAAATGTACAACAACAAAGACCAGGAATTGTTGCTTAGCAGAACCAGCCGCGGTGGTGAAGTGGAAGGGGGCTGGGCCTGCATTAATAGAGTGTGCCTTGGCTTTTGCACGCAGGTCCATAGACTGGCAGACACCAACCTGCGGCTCTGCATCCTTGATTAAACAAACGTTCTTCCTCAGGCTAAAGCACAGGAAGGCACAGCAACTAGTACACCAGCTGCAGACATGTCGCATGCCAGTGCCCTGTTCTCGGTTGTTGTTTTGCCAGGTGCAAAGGTTTTAAGACTCCTTTTGTAACCTTTCACATATATTTTGTACATGTTAGGTTGTATTACTTCAAGGGTACGGATAGGGAAGATTACATGGCTACATCCCAGTATAAAGAGTATTTTAAAATGATTTATGTGCATCCCTCAGCCTTATGTCCACATATTCCTCGTCTAGCTACAACATCTCCACATAGGTCAAAATCGTTTTTGCTAAATTTGCTAAATAAGCAAAGCGTACTTCCCCTTGCTAGAGAAGGGTTTTTCCCCTTTAAGCAGAGCCACATGTTGACCAACGTTTATAGACAGCCCAACAGGACTTCATACAGATTACCTCTTTGAAATGATCAACCCATAAAGTTCCTTAACCGCAGACCGGGCACCATTAACTGAACGTTGTACAGTAGGGCATAACTTTATTTATATTAAATAATGAGACCTGTACATAAACTGAAGCAAAAAACCCCCTGTCAAGAAATAATCAGAATACCTTTTTTTCGTCACCCAGAGGGGACATTTGCAAAAGTAAATATAAGGAAACTACTCATTAGTGAGAAGGAGCTGCTGTAACAGGCTGCCATTAGATGCGGCACCAACAATTACACTAATTGTCATCGTCAAAAACAGAAATGTTTGCGAAGTAATGGAATTGTCCGGCCTGTATGCTAAATGCTTTCATGGGGAATTCTTAAATCAATATTTAAGCTTAAAAGAGTGATTTCCTCAAATCTACTTTATTACACGGAGGCATGTGGCAAAGTGGGTTGTGCGTTGGTGTTCAGGGGGTCACAGGTTCAAACCCCACTGCAGTCAGCATGTCGTTGTGTCCCTGGGCAAGACACTTCACCCCAAATTGCTCCTGTGGGGATTGCCCACAGTATTGAGTATGTAAGTCGCTTTGGATAAAAGCGTCTAACAAGTGACATGTAATGTGCTTTAATCTAATGTAATTGTTTACATAAAGAAACGGTTAACAATGACAAGATCCTGGGAAAAACATTCAATCCAACTGGGAAGCTGAGATGAACTTGATAAGACCAATAGACATTGACAGAAAATGTGACTGAAGGTGTTTCAAAATAAAACAATTCAACATGTATGGCAAGTATCTTGGAATTGGGTGACAATATGGGTGAAAGACCCTGCCTTGAGCTCTGTTGAATGAAAATGTGTAAAATAATGGATGCATTCATTTTGATAACTGGGTATTTAACAAGCGTTGTGTGCATCTGTTGAGTCGCTTTGACAGTTATCTCATGAAGCTTTTGAGCTTTTTGTATACCACACAAACAGTCATGTTTATAATCACTTGCACTTGATGCATGCTCACACAGGAAAGTCTGTGATGTGGGGAGTGATTCAGAAGGGGGAGACCCTTCCAGTAAAAGTTCAGTGGCATCAACGATAGCATGTTTACTGCCCTCCTCTCACTGATTGAACACCTCCTTAATCACTAAAATTGTTCATCTTGTTTTCGCACTGAAAGAATTCCTGTGGGTGCTTTTGGTCTTCAAAACTTCAATTACAAAACATTCCCACGGTGCTGTTTGGTTAATCATGCATTTTGTTACAGTCCTACCAATGTGTGTATAGGGTATTTTAATTGTCAACATGTTAATAGTCGACCACAATACCTGCCAGACTATGTCCACTGTTTTCATTAAGCCTCTGTCCCGTATTAGTTTTTTAAAACGTGCCCATTTATTTTCATACATTTGAGATGCTAGCCTTTGCAGACCATCAACATGCACATACACCTATATAACACACAACAGGAAAGGAAAGGAACAAAAGGTTCCCCTGAAGTGTCCTGAATATGTGTTGTTATCATTCAGCTGAAATTACATTTATTCAGCACTAATGTTTCTTTTTTTAGTGCAGACCCATTGTTGTAGACGACCAATCAACTAACATGAGCAAAGAGGGAAGCCTGCAAATTGAAATGATGTGGGCACTTACATTTTAGTGCACAAACAAATGAATTTAATCAAAATGGACTTTTGCAGTCGCCGTTTGAATTGTTCAATCAGCAACAAAACAAATCAGAGAATACATTAAAATACAGATGAACAGAGAGCCTGATTCAAGCCTTGGCTGAGCCCTAGCTTAGTTGACTGCTTCTTGGTGAAATGATAAGGTTCCTAATAGATTTGTTTCATTTGCTTCCAAAAAAGTGCTGCCAAACTACAACAACTGATCAACGTAAGACTCAATAAATGTTATTGACTCTTCAAACTGACACTCAACTGTTAGGAGATGAGTAATTTACTTACATTTCAGCGTTTCTCCAGCGTAAGGGATGTGAAGTTTGAAGCGATCACAGCAGGGACCGGGGGTCAGAGATATACATCTGAACATGGAAACAACCAAATACATGTTCAGTCTACTAGCCTGAGAACACAATACAGTGAGAATCAGAAAGGTTGATGATCAATTCAACCCAGAGGTGGAAGAGGTTCTTTTTGACTTAAAGAAAAGTACAAATACTATGGTCTTCAAAAGTACTCACTATGCACAATGGCTTTTTTTCACCATATTATGTTATTATAACGTAGGCTACTATATTAACCTGTTTTTTTAATACATAAACATTATTTATTATTTTAAACAGGTGGATGTATTGTGCATTACCAGATCTTATCATATACAGTAAGTATATCATGTGTTTTTTATATTGGAATATACATGTTCAGTGTTTCCCCTAGGATGGAGTCATAGCAGCGGTGCTAAGCCACGTGGGCTCAGCATAATGTGAGCACGGAGCGCGTGGATTTTTTTTGTGTGTGCGAAGTGCGCCCCGCCAATTTGTTTCTATGTGTCTGCCAGCACAAGACAGGCTCTTGAGGCCTAGTACCAGGGCCGTTTCTAGCCAATTTGCTGCCCTAGGCGAGATTTTATATATAAAGAATAAATGAAAAATCTCTACAAAAGACAAATACACTACAAAAACAGAAACTTATTGACATAGGTAATATGCGTCAAAATGGCTTCAAATGTATTCAGAATTGTATGAACATGTTTTAATTGGGAGGTGTACGTCACACCTTCCAGGGGGACCGGGGGTATGCCCCCCCGGGAAGATTTTTTTGAACATTTTAAAGTAAAATGCTTCAATCTGGTGCACTTTGAGCAGAATTACTAGAGACCTGATCTAGGGGGTACAACTTTAAACGCCCATATGAAAAAGATCGGTTTACATTTTAATAATCAAATAAGTATATGAACATAACCAATAACCTACCATAGCCAATAACAAATAAATGTAACTTATTTTATTTTTGTTGTTCATTTATATCTTATTTTACCTAGTTAACATTTATTAATGTATGCATATTTTTGTATCTCTCCAACTTTAAACGATATTTTTTGGTTGACTGTCAGATATTATACATTGGAATGACTTCAAACCTGTTTTTATTTATCCTAATAATTATAAAGGAGTGCCTTGGAAATATGTGTTTACATAATTTTGTGGTCAAAACGTTTGAGACCCACTGAGATAACTTAGACTAAAGTC